TTTTCACCTTCTCAAGATGTTTTGCTTTCAAGGGACGCTGGACCCGTTTTCCAGCAGGTGACGCTCCTGTGAGGAACGAGCCCTCAAGTGGCCCTATCAGACATCACATTGTTCTGGGCTAAGGACCCAGCAAGCCAAGTGCCCGCCCTAAGTGAAGGCGGGCCTGAATATTCGTCAAAGGCAGAATTCGACATTTCCATATGGGTTATTCAGGCTCTCGCAGCACGCCAGTTGGTTGGGAAGACGAGTGAGCCTCACAATGCTGCGGCATACAGTTGGCCCAGGCCTTGACAGTTGCGCCTGGGCACACGTACACAAAGCAGGGCCGATACATTGGGAAGCAGGCCTTCGGCCTTTGCAAAAGCAGTAGTGCGAATGCACCTGCCCGGGGATCCTGCACAGATGCCGCAAACAGCCCAAGTCTGGAAGACTCAGGCCGTGCCCAAAAGGGCCCAGGCCCTCAACTGTACGTCTCGGGCCTGGGCACAGGGTCTGAGGCCCAACCGGAAGCTACTGGAAGCTTCCAGCCAGGCCACACGCAGCATCAAGCAGGCTGACACTTCCATAAAGGAAGTGAGGCAGCCGAGGCCACACAGACTGGCCAGCGCTGGCAATGCGGAAGTGCTGCTGCGCTTCTGCTTGATGCTGCGCTAATGCCAGGGGCGCTGACGGAGCTCTAGGTGGTGAGAGGGCGCTGCAGGGCAGCGGGGCGCACGCGGCCATAGCCGGGCTGCTAGGCGCCAGGGGGTACAGCGGATGATCAGGGCTGGTCTTCAGGGAGTGAGCCGCTGTGTGGGGTAATCAAGGTCTGATTGAGGGTGACGAGATACGTACCTGATACATGAGGAGAGGTCGCCGATGGTGTTGACAGTCATGTACATTGGTCTTCGTGAGCCGAAGTGATCCTGTTGTGTGAACCAGCTGTAGAGTAGGATAGTGTGGTAGAGTAGGCTGGGCGCTGTGCGCCAGACAGAGAGAGCGACTCTGGATACTGTGTTGGTGTGGCCTACGGGCTTGGACATTGGCTCAATACTTCATTGTATTGCTCTTTATGGATGGTTTTCTCGGTGCATTTGTACTCTCTACTTGGGATACTACTACTTGCTCAGCTGTGTGATTTCGCAACTTGGTTTTATGTATATCGCTCACTCTCATATTCCTTGCAC